ATGAGGACTTGGGTTTTATGTTCAGTGCTACAGGGAAGCCATAAAGAGGGGTTTTTAAAGACTTATTTATTTATGCATACAGAAGCAGGGTGCAGACCAGAGGGGCTGGGGTGGTGAGAGGATTCACCAGAGTCAGAGTGGGGAGCAGAACAGGCCGACTGAAGTACACTGCTGAGGGGAGCAGTGGGCAGGTCAGGAGAGGTCAGCTGCGCCATGTGGGTCACCTACGGGGCTGGGGACTGAAATAACACTGAAGTGGCTGCGGTTTGCTTGCAGTGCTACACTTTAACTCATTGCGCTGCCAGGGAGTTACAAACGGAAAAGTGACAAATGGAAAAGTGACAAGATTTGGTTTATGATTTTAGAAGATTACTCTGTTTGCTGCAGTATAGAGAAGGCAGAGCTGGAGTGGAGGCAGGAAAACCAGTTAGGCTATTCTGATACTTCAGGTAAGACAGAGAATGGGAACTATAGAGGCATGGTCTTCAACCAGGGCAATTTTGGCCCCCAGCAGGGGCTATTATAGGGCACCTCAATTCTGTTTTGGACAGGGGGAGAGGGACACCCCTGAAGCCCCAAAACCTGCCTGCTTTAAGTGGGTTCTGCCATCCGCCGCAACAAGACAAAACATATAAAGCTTTAATGAAAAGTGACTTTAATACAGTGAATATACAATATTTAACACAAAGAATATAACTTCTAAATCGAACACCTGAAGTTACCCATCACCTCGTGGGCAAAAGTCAACCCAAAAGGGATTGGCCCAAAGCAAGGCCTGAAAGCTGCCACAAGACTAAAGCACCTTCTGGCCGGGACCCATGGAAAAGGGTCAGAAAAGGCCAGACAAATCTGAGAGGAAAAGAGCAAAATCAAAATCAGTATAAACACTGCCATGGTCACCTCCCTACAGGTCTCTCACCCACATCTGCCTTAACCAGTCCAGGGTCAGGAAACAAGCCCAGTTTCTTCATCACATGCTTGCTGCTCCATGTGGCTTCCTCAGGTCTCCATCTTTTTCTCCATCTGGCCTTCCTTCTCTTCTTCTTCTCTCTCCTTTTTCTCTGCTCAGTTCCACCCTCCTTCTGGGTGGGGCAGGGAACCTGGAACTTCCCTTCTCCTAGGGACCACCCAGTTACAAGGCCAGGGACATTCACACTGTCTGGAGATGTGTCTTGATGGTCACAACCAAAGGAATACTACTGGCATTCTATCCAATGGGTAGAAGCTGGGGATGCAACTAAGCTTCCTACAAATATTCCAAAGACAGCATGCAACACTCAGGAGATCCCTGGTCCCAAATGTCCAGTACCAAAGCTATGAAGCCTTGCTCTAGGGCAAGTGAGAAGTTTTGCATTTAGGATATGCTTTGAAAGTAAAGCATAGGATTTGAGTTTGGAGGTGGGGAATGAAAGAAAGAAGAATCAAGAGTAATTTTCGCCTCACCAATGAATTCAATAATACTATTTACTGAGAGAGGGAGAATTCTTGGTGAAGAAAAGAAGGGGAACGTCTGAGTTGGAGCTGTAAAAGTGGGAACCCTCAGTGGAGTGCAAGAGAGCAAATACAACAGGAGAGAGAGATCAGATGGAACCCAACCTCCTGGCAGGACCAGGAGAAGAGGAGGAAGAATCAGCAGAGGAGATGGAGGAGGAACAGCAGGGAAGGAGGAGCTGTGGGTGAGGATGGGATCCTGAAAACCAAGGGAAGGGCATCTGGAAGGGTGGCTAGAGTGCTAGAGTCTCCCCGATGCAGGGGAGCTACCGCTATTGAGCTACCGCTAGACACTGCGGCCTGAGTTCTCTCCCCAGCCCAGGCTAGCACAGCAAACCCCCCCTGTCCAACCCCTGCTCCCCTCAGCAGGGGATCTACCTGTTTGCTCCTCACCATCTCTGGTGAATCCTCTCACCCCCTGAACTTCTAGCCTACACCCCAGTTCTTGTATGCATAAATAAATAAATAATAAATCTTTTAAAAAGAAGCATGGCTGGATCACCAAATGGGGTAGTACTGAGGGGCTGCAAGCTGAGGCCAGGATTGCCCACCGGCCTTGCACTGCAGAGCTTATCAGTCAGTCGTGCAAGGTTCTGGAGAGAGGAGAGTGAGGAAGTGGAAATGGGGTTAAGGTAATTGTTTCAGAGTTGTGCACTATCTGGAAACAGATAACGAGCTAGGAGCTCAAGGAGGATATGGGGTCAAGGTTGAAAGGATATTACAACATATCTGTAGGCTGAAGGGATGATCTAGGAGAAACGGGAAACCGTTATCAGTTTCCACTGAATGCTTACTACATCTCAGGAGCTGCATCAGGAATTTTCTGTGGGGCATTTCATTTAACCTGTACACCAAACAAGTGGAAGAGACGATATTGTTATCTGCCTTTCATAGAAGACAAGACTGAGGTATGGAGAGGACTGGTGACTTTCACCGCCTTGGTTGTATGGCTGGTCAGTGGGGGAACTTGGATGAAACGAGGACGCCTGGTTCTGGAGCTCATTTTCTTGTCTTCTTCATCTGAATTCATCTCTTGTTGCCTATTGTAGCCACATGCTATAATTTATCCTCATTATCACTTGTTTCCCCTTTCAAAGGAAGACAAAACTATGAGCCTTTCAGGACTGAAGTAAATGTCCCGGAATTTGTTATGATTGCTCCCACCCTCTCCCCACCCCAGCACCTGCTGCCCAGCAAACCTCTCTCAAGGTCTGTCACACTGCAGGCCAATCTACCACCCAACCTATGTGTCTGCTCACTTGTCTACAGTGCAGCAGGAGTTCAAGGCCATGGGCAGTGTCTAATGCATCTTTCTGTCCCTGGCTGGCAGAACAGGCCCCCAAATATAAGCATGAATGGATGGATAGCTGAATGAATGCAAAGAGTTACTTGGAATACTGGAAGCACAAGCACAGGACAGCTGACTATGGCATCTAAAATTGCAAGCTAGGGTGTAATATCCAAAAGTGCTCTTAAAATTCAGAGTGCAAAGGAATTTCCGAGGAGTGCAGGTGTGAGGAGTTTACTAAGGCGGCTCCACCCCCAGAAATTCTATTCAGTAAATCCGGGGTGGAGTTCAAGAGTTAACTAATCCAAGGGTTTTTTTCCCTTTCCAAAGAATTCCATGTAAGTACTCCAGGGTCTTAACCCTGAAGACCAGGTATTCCAGAGACTTGGATTCTAGTCCACATTTCCCACTTAGCATCGGGTAGGATAAAATATTACATGCAAAAAAATTTTTTAATCATGTGTTATTTATGATATGTAAATTAGCTGGGCTCCTGTTTATTTGCTTTAGGTACTTTGGCTAAGATGGCTGTAACCCCTTTGAGCTTCAGTCTATAAAATGAACAAATTTGAACTTTCCTTATTGTTGTGATGACTAAATAAGATCTTCATGTGTAAGTGACCAATAAATGAGCAAGCAAAATTCATAACATTTAATTCATTCTCTTCTAGAGTATTAAAATATAATCCATGAAATTTGATTTGTATACACATGTCTGAGAAATGCATGGGTCAGACGGTCAGTTCATGTGAGTGGGCAGCTGGCTGGGACGGTGAGGTAGAGAGAGTCAGTCCAGGGCCCAGAAAGAGGGTATATGGAGGGTGTGCGTGTGCTCATCCTCATCTCAAACTCATGCACACTAATTTTGCCATAAGATCTTAGAGTTGCTCCAAATCAGCAAACCAGTAAAAGAAAGATGTGACCCTTTCAGAAACCAGGAAAGAGTGACAGCATTTTGGGCGGTATCAGTTTGGCTGAAGGTCTTTTACCCTAGAGAACAACAGAGGGTCAAAGGAAGTCTTGTGGATCAGACAAGGGACCTGTCAGCGAGCCCCCAAGCCATCAAGTAAACCAGCTATACAGGGCCAGCTCTGTGCACATATTTGGACATACACTGTATAGAAGAAAAGAAGGCTCTACATGGACAGACACCAAAAAGCAAAAAAAAAAAGTGACAGACCAAGAAAAAAAATTGTTAAGTCCTGTAACAGAGATTTCCACCCCTCATTAAACCAAAAAACACTGAATGACAGACAAGGGCAATTCACCTTAAGAAATGCAAAAGATTACTATTACCATAAAGAAATTAGTTTCTTTAGCAACAGGGAAATACAAAGTGCAACAATTTGTGGGGAGTTTATGCTTATTTTCCTATGATTATTAAGGGAAATAAGCTTATATTCATTGAGCACCTATTGCATGCCAGGCATTGTGCTAAGAGCTTTCTAAACATTAGCTGTGTATTTAATCTGTACAAAACCCCGAGAGATAGGAGCGCACATTATTCCCCCTTTACCTACAGAAAACTTGAACTCAGGAAGAAACTGCCTGGAATTACTCAGCTAGGCAGGTCAGAACCTAGCTCAGGCCCAGGTTTTCCTGGCTCTAAATCCTTCCTCTCCTGGTTTTTCCAGGACATTAGTCAAAGTAACATCTAATGCTTGAATCTAATGCCTTGGAGAAGGCTCCAGAAATCGTGAACTCCAAGCAGCTGTGTGGTTCACAGCCATATTCTAGGCAGAAAAGTCTGACCAGCCAGAAGTTTCAGAGCCTTAGAGGCCGGAACCTGAGGAATCTGTTTGCCAGTTCACTGCATGCTGAGTTGCAATTCTCATTTCTAAACCTTTCAGGCCTGAGTCCGAATCTCCCTCCCCCATTCTCACACCTGCTGGCAGCGGGGGCTCTAATGAATGGACAAGTTCCACGAATTCTTGCCCCTTCCCCCACCTTTAACATAGCCAAGCTCGGGGACAAAAGGCGCCGGGGTCCCGGGCTCCTTCCTCTGGCTCCGGTGAGTGCCAGACAGCTGGAGCCGCGGCCACACTGCCCCATTTACATTTTTTACAGTCCCCCGCCCCCCTTCTCTTCTCTCCCTCAAGGCCGTGTCCAGGACCCTCCTCTGAGTTCCCAGGACGTTGAGCGCAGTTGTCCCAGAAACAGCCAGCCAGGAGTATGGATTAGGCAGGTCCACACCCGAGGATCCCGGACTGAAGATGCGGGCCTGGACCCAGAACCTTCATCCCGCTCACCAGCGGGCAAGCGGAAGCTGCTTCTCGGTTCTTTATGCTCCTGGTTCCGGGCCCTCATGGTGGCAGCTTGTAGGATATTAGTCCCTATCGTTCTTGAATGGCTCCCTAATCCAGTGATAATTGTAGTTACTATTTACTGAGCACCCACAGTGTGTCAGATGAAATGCTAAATGCTTGGCGGCCATTCCCAGATTTAATTCTCACAGTAGCCCAAGGTGAAATAAGTTCGGGCTCCATTTTCCAAATGAGGACAAAACCTCAGAGAGGAGAGGCTTGCTCTCCCCAGGCCTCCACAGGCAGCTGGCAGCAAGAGCCCGGTTCTCCCCACCCCCACCCTGAGTGAGTGAGGAATGGAAGGATTGGGTAACTCCTTTTTCAAAGTTTCTTGCACAATTCTTGGGTTCCGCTGTTTACTTGTTGATTAACGAGCTCCCTAATGGAAAAAGATCTCATGCTGACCCTTCCCGTCCTCAGCACTGGCTCCTCCGGGACTCCCCTTGCCATACTAGGTGTTCTGCTGCAGAAGCCCAGTTTATAAAGGAGATTTATTTATGCATACAAGAACTGGGGTACAGGCCAGAGGTGGGGACAGGTGAGAAGATTCACCAGAGAGTGAATCTCACACCAGAGAGTGGAGCACAAAACAGGAAGTTGCACTAAACCACACAGCTGAGGGGAGCAGCGGGTCGGACAGGAGAGGTCTGCTGCACCGTGTGGGTCACTTCCCTGGCCGGGAATTGAACTCCTGCTGCAGAGCTGCAGATAGCTTCGTAGTGTGTGACTTAACCCCTGGTGCTACCAGGGGTGCCCCAGAAGCCCACATTTTGTCCCAAATACTTGCTCAGGGGGCAGGCCAGGAGTTATTCTTCATCTCTAAAAAGCTCTGTCAAGATTCAGGCCTGAGTATGAATTTGCTGTGCCCTGATCTTCTTCCACTTGCAGGCCCTGGCCTTGAGGTCTGGCCTTGCTTCAAACAAAGTAAATGCTGTTGAGACTATCCAGTGTGGTCTCAAAGCACTTCCAACTTTCCAGATAATGGGCCAACACATCAAAAGACTCTCTGTGGGAAAAGGAAGGAAAACCCTGTATCTTAGTGACCTCCTGCCTGAAGTAGAAAAGCTGAGATACAGCCACAGAGGTGGTCCTGCGTCCAATCAGCCCAGCCAGCTCTGACCTCCCAGGGTCCAGGGGATCCCTGGGTTCTTGTGGGGGCTGAGGAGCAGCTTGAGCCACAAGAATTCTATGCATGTAGCTAGGACGTGACATCACAGAATGTGCCTTTGTTAATTTACAAAAAGATAAAAATAAATTAAAAAGTATATAAATACTCATTTATGTCCTTTAAGCAAGTCTTCTTCATGAATTCTATAGAAATATGTGTACAGTATGTGCAAATGTGTCTATTGCAATGTTATTTATAATAGTGAAAAACTAGACACAACTGGAAGGTCCAGTTGCAAGGGCTTGTTTACATATACTATTATCATCACTGAAATAAAATATTCTGAAGCTACTAAAAGGTAGGAGGTTAGTTTTATGGGCATTGACATGTTGTTGGGTGGAAAGAAGAGAGTTATAGGAAAATATATAACTGTCATTCTATTTTTGTTTTAAAAAATAAATGTCTTAGAGGAAAAACATTTAAAAAGCAAAAAATAAGCTTATTAAGGTAGAAGGCAGATTATTTTTTTAACATGAGGTCTTAGGGCAGTGGCTACTTTGTACCTTACAACATATGGGATTTAAAAAAAGTCCAGAGGTCTAGGCCAATATATCAAACCAATATATCAAAACTCTCAGGGTGGAAGGGAAGCATTTTTTAAATCTCCCAGGAGATTCCAATGAACAACCAACTTGAGAAATACTACTTTAAAGAAACAGAAAGAAGCGTTGATTCATAAAGAAAAAAGATTCCATATTTTACCATTGTATTTCTTTGTTTCTATAAGCAAAAAAATTAAAAAGAAAATTGAAGTTGTAACCCCTTTATGTCAAGTCCTAATAGATATGACCCACCCCACTTTTTCAGGGAAAAGAAAGTGCCTGTTGTGGTTTTCAGCTTCACCAATTACATAAGCTCCGTATTGTGGACTTAGTAAGACCACACTTCCTGATGGCACCTGAGGTGTTCTAAAAGTTCACCACTTGTAACTGATTCTTCAAACCTTGAACTCAATAAAGTGAAAATTGCAATTAAGAAAAGAAATGTTGACCACTTGACTCATCAGTAAAACAGAAACTCAAATAAAACACTTTGCACAGTGCCTGACCCAGCAGCGAGGCGCAGTAAAGGTAGTTTGTTCATTTCAGGAAAGGCTACTCAGCAGAGGTCTTAGCTTCTTATATGCTGTCCATTGTGACGCCTAGTTCTCAGTCTTTGAGGTGAACATTTTACAGATAAGGAATCTGGATCTTAGTTGGCTGAACATGTCAGGACTAGTTCTGTACCAATTCCAAACTTTGTTTCTCTTACCATACTCTGTCACATCTTAGGAACATCCCAGGCGGGGAGTTAACTTGATTAGTCACCTTGCTTCAGACTCACCTCTTCACCTAACTCCAAAGGAAGGAAGTGCCACTGGAGTTATTCTGAGGTCACTCTGCTAAAGATGACAAGTCATTTAAAGATTCTGCCCAAATATGGCCTGGCAGGCTTGAACTCAATGTACCTGGGAAGAAAAGGAAAACTCCGTCTCTGAGCCCAAGGGGAAATGTTAGTGGCTTTGGACCTTGATTCTACACTGCAGATAAATCTGGGCAGAGATTCCCTCCCAACCCCTCACCCCCAAACCCAAACCTTCTACATACCTGTGGCTCCTGGTTTGGCAGGTTAAGTCTAGCTTCACACCTCTGAGCATTCGGTTTTGGTACTAACCTGTTTTTGTTTTTTTTTTTCACTTTTCTTAAAAACAAGAAGGTGCCATTAGACAGTGTCAGGTGTTGATTCAATACTACTGAATCAAATAATCAAAAACTGATTTATTGAGCACCTGCCCTACCTATTATTGTGGGCAGTGCACCAGTCTTAGAGGGTCTGTCTGGGATGACCCCTAGATCATCCATTGCATCTCTACCTGGAAAACTGGCTCCATCTTCCTGGTCTCCTGAACAGTGTGGCTCCCAGGCATCTTCTCCAGCAAGGCTTCCTGTTGTGTCTTCAACGTGTTTGTCCATTTCTACTGCAAGTTTTCTCATATTCTGCACCCAATTCATGGCAATTTGTACACACATCTTCCCATTATTCTGAGCGTTTCCTTGAAGACAGAAACAAGTTTTTCTTTACCTTAGTAGCCTTTACTTATTTATTTATTTATTTTAAAGATTTATTTATTTGTGCACACAGAACTGGGGTACAGGCCAGAGGCTCAGGGTTGGCGAGAAGATTCACCAGAGACAGAGTGGGGAGCAGAACAGGC